GACTTGTTAATACTAGGAAACAAAGAGATGCAAGTGGGAGAAATTAAACACCATCTTCCTCCTCCCCATTGCCCACTGCTGTTATTGCTATTATTATAATTATATTCACTACAATATGGCAGAATATTTTTCAGAGCTCTGTTGTCTGTTTCCCAAAGCAGGCAATTTAGTTTACATGAGTTTATAGTCTTTGACCAGTACTAAAAGTACAATTCAACTCTTACATAACCTCAAGTAAAAACTTAAGTTTTCATGTATTGTCTTTGCTGTTCACTTCCTCAACACGCCACCTGTGCTTCTTAGCCCCTCTTTTATCACTTAACGCTTATGGTAATAGTTACTAATCTGTATTCTGTAATGGTAATAATGATGAAAATTTTCAAAAGCTAGTAAATGACATTGCTGACATATTTCATTTAACCTTCTACACACATCACACTTTGTGTTCTTTCTCAATCAATATAATTTACATAATGAAGGCACTTTTCCTGGACATTGTGGCACATGCCTATAGTGCCAACTCTCTGGAAGGCTGAGAATTATAAGTTCAAACCCTGCTTAGGCAACTTAGTGACTTAGCAAGACCCTGTCTGCACCCCCACCAAAGAGCTGGGATTGTAGTTTGGTGTGAAGTTCTTGGGTTCAATTCAGTCCTTCCTATCATAAAACAAGGCACACAAATTCACTGTGGACTTGTGTTCAGGCTTCACTGTTGTGTAATACTTGCAAAAATATATACACCACAGGATTCTAGAACTATCTGAAGATGTATACAGAATATTAGTGATTTGTTGTGCTGTATCCCTTATAGGACATATTCTATTATTGTCATATTTGAGATTTAGCTGTTTTTCTTTTTGAAACAGAATGAGAAGTTGTATTATAGAAGGCTTAGACATGACCACCTTTCACTATTCCAGCTTTGAAACAAATGCTATCAGCTGAAAGAACAGAGATATGATTTCTTCAGTCACATAGAACCCTATTTTTACAGTAACATGAAAGTGATATGCTGCATATGTAAGGTAGTTGCGAAAGTAATGAAGCAAGTCTGATCATAATGCCGCCATATTTAAAGCACTTTAGGGGCATCCCACTCTTCATTGTTGAAGCTCAAACTCCCTAGTGTAAAATGTAATCCTTTGTTATTTTGTTTCTGCTTACTCTTCTATTCCTTATCTACTAATATCACATCCCATATTCTTTTTCTTTGTCTTAAAGTTGAAGAGGCAGCATTGCCAAATGACTTGCAGTTTCAGAGCATACTGTTCTTTCGTGCCCATTCTTGCTTCCATTCATGTTGTTTGGGTTGTGTGGGGCCCTCACCTCCAACTGTTACCTTCCCTGGTATAGTTTGTGTCTAAATGTCCCTTAAAGCCTCCTTCCATCACAGGGCTTTTCAGAGGTGGCTGACTAGAGAGTATGTGATGACAGGGTTATGGGTACGTGATCAGTGAATCAGTCCATTGATTGGCTTGGCATAGTTCTGGCTAGGATTAAGGGGGTAAGTGCTACACCTGCCCTAGGGCAGGTAGCCTGCACACAATATAAGAAACAGAATGAGTCTTTTCTCAACCCTCTTTTTGCTTTTGCTGTCTTCCCTGCCATGAACTGTCGCCTCTCTGCCATGTGCCAACTCACTTTGGAGCTAACCTACTACAGACTAAATCTCTACAAACTGAGTTAAATAAATCTTTCCTCTCTTAATTTTTGGGTATCAGGTATTTTGTCTTAGCAAGGAGAAAGTAGTAATGAAGACACTAACTAATATTTTTCTTTTAAAATTGTAAGTCACAAAACTAGAAACACAAACCATCCAGAATATTGTGTAGAATCTGGAATAAAACTTAAATAGGTCCTTAAGTGAGCTAAAATTAGTGTCACAGAAACCTAATTTAGAATCTATTAATTTTAACTAGTCTTAATTTTAAGCACTTTTATCTAGTTTCAGTATTGACTGTAGGTGAGAAAACAACTCAGAAATAAGAGATGGGTTTATAGAGAAGCCATCATAATTAGTAAGCAGTTGAAAGATGAGATTCTAGGAAGTAGCAAAGGAAGAGACAGTACAAATTTAAAACATTTATAAAGATTACAATATAAAGTAACCTACATTTTTCACAAAAATTACATTATGTATAGTGCACATTTAGTATACATTAGTAGGAAATTTTACAAGATTATTCTAGGAAGTGCACAATAAAATGTTTAAGAACTATAAAAGAGATAGTATTATCATAATATATTAAATTTATGTGGTGTACAGTAATAGTTGTATTCTATATAAATATAACGCTGCTTTGTTTGGAAGTCTTGATACGTGAAGAACAAAGCTGTTCTATGCTAATGGATAATTCTGAACAGCCAGTGGTCACATATTAATTTTTTCTTCATTTTGAATTTTGAGAATACTTTTCCAAAGAAAAAAATGAATATTTGTATGTCATTCATGGGTTTTTAATCCTCAGCAATATAAATTTATGCTATTTATATTTAAAGTGAGTGGTAGGTATAGATCTCCATACACAATATAAATTTGTTTAAAGTGTATTCTAAAATCTTATCATAGATGTTTTATTATGTAAAAATATCAGATGTCCAATAGTCCATGCTAATCCTATTGTAAAGGTAAATAAAAATTAACTTTATTGAAAGAAATGGTAGCCCAGAAGAATGTCCCATGTTCCAGTGCAGTACTTCAGCAAGATTTGAGGAAAGGGACACTTGTTTTATTAATGTACATTTTAGTCTTTTAAAAAATCCACAGTGTGTCTTGCATTGTTACAAGAAAAGGGAAAAATATTGTGAATAATGAAGTTAGGTTCTCTTTTTCCGTGAACTAGATATTTCTTTAATGGATAAATGATATCACTGCTCCTTTCCTTTGAGCTCTGACTACAAAAGCCTTTTGTTTCACAGCCTATGATCAAGCAGGGGTGAGAAATGAGTTTCTATGAAGTGTTTCTCATTCACAGTCTCCTTCTTTATTTCTGCATTGTAATCTGCTTATATAGAACATATTTCTGGGATTTAAGGTTTTTGTAGCTCTTTTTAGCACCAAAACCAAAACATTTGTCTTTTTATATATATCATGAAATATACACATTTAAAAAGTGCATAAATATATATTTTCTATAGCAGCTTGCTATTTCTTTCCCTAAAAGATAGAAATTTTAAAAACTAAGTGGGCATTAAAATATCAAATATATATAGTATATGCTAGGAAAATGTATAGTAAATTTAGAAAATAATTATCTTTTGAAAGGTCCTCAGTCAAAGCCTAGTATCTTAGGTGCTTTTCTAATAATCTCCGGAGCCATCAGATGCCAAAAGAGACCTGGGAGGCTGCTTGCTTGCCAGGAGCCCTGAAGTACTTGGAGCTGAAGCAAGACTGTTTACAGTGACACTTGTATCTGAATAGGAAGCCTCTTTTCCAAGAAAACTTGTTCACATACCCCAAATTGAATCTCAGAGCAGCTTTGGAAAAAACACAGCCTCTGAGCATAAGTAAATTCTCTAAGTGTGATTCTGCTGAAATTATAGTCAAAACGCTTGAGTTTGATTCCAGAGCCTTCCACTTAACCTTATAAGCCATGATACCATGAGCTATTTGCTAAGGTTAAGGTTCTTGGTAGAGAGGCCTAAATTATAGTTAACATTCAACAAACTTTAGTTATTTACACAATTAATGTTCAACAAACTTTAGTTGTTTCTGTGACTACATTAGCTAGGTATGCAGAAAACTGAACACTCCCCCCCCACAATGGAATCTGTTCTCATCACACTTGTAACAACACATGAGAGAGCACACAATTATGTCCTTACTCTCCCTAGCTATATATGGTTGTGTCAGAGTCACTTCACAAAGAGGTCTGGATATTTTCTGTTTTTTTAAGCCAAGTAAGGACAACAGAAGAAAACACTTGAGTTCCAGAAATGCCATCACTAATGAGAAAGCTATTAGGGCCCCGGGTCGCTCTCAGAAGAGATGCTGGCTGGCTGTCGCTTCTGAGACTGATGTCACACTGATAATCTCCACAGACTGTTGATGCAAAAGCAGAAATCAGTTATCAGTTCTCTGTGGCTTCCTTTGAGTCAAAAATAGTTCTCTTTGTTTCTGCTTCCCAGTGAAAGGCAGCAGAGTTTCAATGATTCGATTGGTTTTCTGACTACAGAGACAGCTGAGGTGAGAAAAATGATTAGTCTGAAGCCAAACAGGAGCATAGCTACTTGGTTTGGAATGTAAATCAGACTCGGGAGATCACCTGATTCAGCTAAATGAAAAACTGTCCTCATCCAAAACCCTTTTTCATCGAATAACATGAGGAATTTGAGCAACTAGAAAACAAAGCAAAGCAATCTTCAAGGGCATTAGCAAAGAAAAGCTGTTATGTTTATAGAAACAAAATGGTAATAATTGTGCACCCACCAGATGTGGGACACAGCTGGGGCTAAACCAACAATGTCAGTGACACTATTCCTGTAGAGTATTGAGTTATTATTTAAATTTGGGGGGGATTTTATATCCTCATATCCTCTTTACATTTTCAAGTGGATAAAAGTAAAATATTAATATCACTATTTTAAAATGCTGTTGTTTACTCTATCAAAATGTCAGCTGATGGCACACACAGGTACATTCAATTCTCTTTGCCATGTGTACAGTGAACCCTTGTGTGGTTTGCTGAGTACTTAACATGAACTATCTTATTAATCCACACAACAACCCAAGAAGATAGGTAGGTTGGTCTACTGTTATTTCTAGTTTACAAATAAGGAAATGGTCTCAGAGAAGCTCAGTAATTTGCCAAAACAATCTTGTTAGTTTAGAGGAGGTGGCAGCCAGCCCAGGTTCACTTGCCTGTGTTTACTGCAGTCCCGCACACCGCCCAGCGGGCCCCGGAGAATGGGTCTGCTCGGCCATACTCTTACTTCCGTAAAGGACATAATGGCTGCCACTCCAGGGGATGCTCCCTTCTCTCTAGGAAGAAGACACTCACCATTCTAGATGATTTGTGCACTAGGACTGCTTATGACTGACTTCCTCCTTTTGTGAGGGCTGCAGTGTCCTCCTTGGAGGGCAAAAGAAGCATAAGACCAAGCACACCGCCTTACAGCACAGGAGTTCAGCAATGAGCATGCACAGGAATTCCTGGAAGAAAGGAATGAAAAGTAAATAGCTTATTTGGAAGGACTCTCGGAGCTTCAGAAATGAATGGAATTCATGCTTTTAAATAGAGGAATGCAACATTTGGCATTAAAAACTTCTTTCCTCAGGTTGTAAATAATTAAATCAGATTCTTCCCATAACCCAGAGCTTTCCTTGTTCATGATGAAATCGCTTAGGACTTTGTTATTCTATTCCATTAATTAGCACTGACAGCGGGTGAGAAAAGACTAAGACAACAGCGGCACTGAGAATTGATGGGTTCCCACGTTACTTGTTGAATCATTTCTAATCCAGCTCCAGACTGGACACTAATGAGTCTGATCCTTGAATCCCTCCGCTGAATTGAGGCTGAGAACTCTGCACCTAGCTTTTCTTAGAGACTATATGGATGAGTAATTATCTCAAGTACTTCATTTCTTATATCTCAGCTACAATGCTGACTCCTCAAGGCCCTGAACCAGGGTAAATGTCTTTTTAATCCTGGGGTGTGAGGAAATAGTGTGAAAGTGTTTTACAAATGAAAAACCCAAACAAAGTACCGTTATTATAAGCTTTTAGAAGTCCAGCATAATTCTGAGCATACAGAATGGCAGCAGTCTTTTAACAGCAAAGAAAAGAGTTGAACCCTTTCATACTCACTGGGCATTATTCTAAGGGCTGTGTTTGTGTTATGTAATTCAGTCTACACAAGCACCTTGTAAACAGACAACAACTGCTCTTATATCTCTGATTTCAGAGCTAGAACCCAGTTTTTGATCCTAGTTCCAGAGTTTCTTGACTACAAAGCACCTGCTGAGATCAGAGGTAATTCACATATGTAATTTCTGTGCAATTTTAATGTTTTACAGGAAAATTATAGCAATTTCAGTTTTTTAGCCTGTTGCACCCACCATAACATGTTATCACTTATAAAATAGTAATACATAATAGCTTAAGGTAATATCTTTACCCCTTCATGTTAGATGAAAGAATATTTTCAACTAATAAATGGAGATACTAGCTAACAGCGGTGAATGATTTGAAATTCTGTTTGAAAAAGAAGCCCATAGCAGAAAAATAGGGCTTAGGATTTGTTTGCGTATTTGTTTTAATTTTCAACTTATTTGCACTTGCACAGTATTTCAAACATACAGAAAGATACAGAATATATGTATGCAAAAGGTTTATGCAAATGTCCATGTGTAAAAACAACATCATTAAACATATACTGAATCTCTCTGGATATGAAACCTCTGCTTTACAGAGAGGAGTGACGGCAGGTAAGGTGAGGATAGACTGATTGGGCTGGCATTTTTTTCTAGTTTTCAAGGCTGCTTATTTTCACAGTCAGTCTAGTTTCATGGAAAGGGGGTATTAATATTTGGTCCATATGGCTCAAAAGTCCACTGAGAAAAAGGAAAATTACTATGGAAATCACTGATGCTTCAGTATTCACCTATTTTCTCTCCTAAGTGTGAGCACCCTTCTGAAACATCCATGTATTACTCCAAAACAATGTGTGTAATCACAGATAGTATGTAATAATCTTGCATGCTGAAAAATACTTTTGAAAGGTTATTGTACGAATCCATTTTCACTTTATTTTCTGATTTGTTGGTTTTGGAGGTCTTTTAAAACTTTTCATTGGAACATAATCTTTGTACATTATGGCGGTTTGATATTTATCTGTAGTGCATAGTAAGAAAACGAGTGCAGAAAGCATTTCTATCACTTCAGATATTGGTTTTTATGTGTCAGAACTTTCGTACTCTTAAGTCATTTAAAAATATGTGAGACTGTTTTATTCATTATCCTGTTGTGCTACAGAGAAACCAGAACCCATTCCTCCTTTCTTACTTACTGAACTGCTTTCCATCCTCTCTGCCGCCCATCCCTTCCCCATCTCTAATGGGAAGGAATAATGGCCACCTTATTTTCTTTACTCAGCACCATGTTATTGTTTTAGCTTTTAGTTAGGAAGCACACAAATTATAGCTTTAGGTGCTAAGACATATGTGACAAGTGTTAGCCTAAGATATGACCATAAAGCAAAAAGATATTTAAGTAACAGATCTCTGGGAAGCAAAGACTTTTGTACATTTGAAATAATGTGCTTTATCATCTTTAAGGCGGGATTTATTTATTTATTTATTTATTTTGTTGTTGTTGTTTTTTGTTTTGGTTTTTTTCCGGTACCAGGAATCGAACTCACGACCTTGTGCTTGCCAGGCAGGTGCTGTGCCGCTGAGCTAAATCCCCAGGCCCCTTATTTATTTATTTTTAATTTTTTTTGGTATCAGGAATTGAACTGAGGACCTTGTGCTTAACAGACAGGCACTGTGCCACTGAGCTATATACCCGGCCCAAGTGATGTACTTCTTAAAGATGAAAAATTGACACCATAAAATTGAAGTGGTGATATGAACAATACCATGTAATAGAGGAAGAGAGCCAAGCTGGGAAACACCCCGAGATTCTAGGATAAGGGAGGCCTAGAGAAGGGTAAGGAATTGGTATTCTCAGATCGTAGTCCATCTCAGCTCAGGTTTACTGCTTCCGCACCACCGCAAGTCTCCAGTACTCCTCTCCCCACCTGCCTCCTGTGCTTATGAAACCTCTTTATCTTCTCTCAGCCCAGCTCTGAGTTGTGGCCTGAGGAAATGCCAGTGGGAGTCGTTCCCCTTCCTTTCTCTTGAAATCTTGCAGCCCACAAAACTTCTTTACAGGTCGTCCACTTGCCACTCCAGCTTTCCTGCCAACATCTTCCCTTTAAAGACAAATGACTTTGCACTTCCAACGTGTTGCATTATTCATACTTTTAGTCCCAGAAACTAACTCCTCCAGGCATATTATTACATTTAACACAAATTTCTCATTTCCCTTACCTGTTCTGTGTGGCTAGAACATGAGCAATTGTAAGTAATTTTAATAGCTCAGTGGCTTTTTCTGGGGGGTTTCTGGATCTCTATTGCCCTCTTATATAAAATGTATGGTTCAAATTTTTTTAAATAAGGGGAAAGATTGATCAAATGTAGGAAACTGAAAAAGATCAGTAACCATGGTACGCTTTAACTCACCCAGATGCTGCATGACCGACAGAAGTAGCTCCAGAGGCAAGACCACCATAAAGTGATGATTTGCAGGTGTATCACTTAATTATAAATCACTTTTGATATATATAGTATAATCGCTTATAAATCACTTTTGATTATACATAGTAAATCTTATACATAGTAAAATTGCTTATAAGTCACTTTTGTTTATATTAACATCTTAATTTCAGAGCAATGAGAGATTGAAAATATGCTGAAACTTAAATCTTTAAACTACTATTTATTTTAATGTGCCTCTATCTAAACAAACAGCATCCATTATAGAGCACCAACACAAAAAGTTAGATAGAAGCTTGCCTTTCAGAATGCCAAGTCAAATGGATAAGCATTGAAAGACATAAATAAGCCTCATGAATCTTGTGTTCTTCCCAGGGATGTGACCCAGCATTTGATGTGGTCTCCTTGGCTATTATTATCTACATGAAATATTGAAGTTAGGGTGATGCAACCTAGATTTCTATAACAGTATCTAGAAAGATTTATAATTCAGAACTGCTCAAAGATAACAGTGATTAGGTGAACCTGGATCATCTATACTTGGGACTGACAATTCTATGTGGTAATCCCAGCCATGTGTCCCTGGTAGGAGGGCAGTGTGGCCCATAGTAAAATCTCTATATCTTAGCTACTATACTGGCACCTGGAGAATATTCTCAACACTAAGTACAGATACTGCCTAGGGTTTGGGTACATCTTTGCTTGTGTATTAAACTCATCTTTTGAATGCCACACATGGCAATGTTATGGGCTGAATAGTGTCCCTCCAAATTCACAATCTGAGGTTCCAATCTTCAGTACCTCAGAATATAAAAATGCATTCAGAGCCAAAGTCTTCAAGGAGGAAATTCAGTTTAAATGAGACCCTTAGAGCAGGGACCTAATCGAAGATGACTGGTATCTTAACAAGAAGCAGAGACAACAGGGTTGTGGGTGTACAGAGGGACAAGCTGGTAGGAGGCATTAAGGGCACAACCTTCCACAAGAGAAGGAAGGAGACTTCAGGAGAGAACAAAACTGCTGACACTCTGATCTTGGACTTTCAACCTCCAGATCTGTGAGGAAGTAAGCATCATTTCAGTCACTCTGTCTGTGGTGTTTTGTTATGGTAGCCCTGGAAAACTAATAACCAAGAACAAAAGACTTGCATCTAGTACTTCATATGCATCAAGTATCCATCTTTGCAATCTAAGGAAAGAAAAACTTGTGTCTTGGGGTCTCGGCCTCACCATCCACAGATGCTCAGCCTTTGTGCCAGTCTTCTACAGAGACCCTACCTGTTGCCTGGCTTTGCACTCCTGGGGTCGGTCATCCTTTCTACCATGTATTCTGGTTCTGGTGATAGGCCTGGTAGCATAAGTGTTGAGCAGGAAAAGAAAGTTCTAAATGTTCTGGTTTGGGGACACAGTGTCTAAAAGGTAACCAGACATTCTCTATGGAAGTAACCTCCTGCCATCAGATCTTCTGTGTGTCACTCTACACAATGCACTTATTTACCCTTCACTGTGATCTATATTGACAAAACAACCCCAATATATTATGTAAACTTTGATATTCAGTATAATACATTCTGAGAAGAGGTGAAGTTTCTTTTGAAGAACTTTGGAATTCATCATACCCCATTTATAGTACCATTGAGTTATGTTTGGCATAAAAATATATCCTTCTAATTACTTATCTCAAATTTCTGCAATTACTCTGATTTTTCCAAGGGTTTTCATAGTAAGATAATAATGATAACCAGGTAAGCTTCTGTTTTAGTCCTCCCTGAATTCCTCCCATCTGTTTTGCTTTCCATATTGTAATTTTCTCTAGAGATTGATAACTTTGCTGTGTGTGGACTTTACTTTTCAATTTCTGCTTATACAGTTCCCTAAAATATATACAAGAGTA